CAATTGTAGTTTCCAGATTAAATAAATAACAGAGGACGAGCAGAGGGAAGATAGCTTGTCCATTAGGAAACATTAACCGGACTACAGATGATTGACCATAACAAAAGAAAAATGAATTATTGGGAAAACATAGTTTCCTTTAAAAACAGAAAATTTAATAGATTATTTTTTAGCAAGACTGAAATGCTAATTCTTTCTATGATGCTAATCGAGCATTAAAACAATCATACAAAGAAAATGCACTGTCCATCTCCGACTATTTATAGACTCAAACTGGTCTGATGTATATCAGTCTCAGAGACTTCTTCTTCTTCTTCTGATACACACCGACATTGTAAAAGAAAACAATTTATTTGATATTTGTTCAATTAATTATTTTCTTCGTCTAATCACTTTGTAATATATGATTACTATCAATCACATTCGATTATTCATCGATTTACACAACATCTGCTATTTGAATGTATATTTAAACTTGAATCAATGTCTCAGACTAACATTATACTGTAATTTGTATTATTGAGAAAAGAATGCTTTCAATTTTGTTTTCACTCCAATCGACACTACAAGAATTTTCACTAAATATGGTCGACTATGTTGAACAATCATCAAGTTTGTCATCTGAATTCCAGTTATCAGAAAAGGTATGTCAGAAACAAGAGTAGTAGGAGAAAGTTTATTGTGCAATCTTTCTTTTAGATTCAAGTCAGCGATGCTCGCTTTTTAGATAGTGAGATAAGATTATTAACGTGTCAGTTGATTAGCGACGATGATTCTTGGTTATTCAAACCCATTTTGAATGAAAGGTATGGGTTAACGATATTTTCTCTGTTCACACAGATACTGGACGGTACTTTAGGTACCGTGAATTAGAAAATGTGGTGGTGAGAGGTTGTAAAAAGGCACTAGTCAAGTCTGTCTATCACCAAAGTTTCCATGTCTGTCCTATCTATGGTAACCAGATAATTATAAAAATTGTTTCACTTCTACATTAGATATGACGATACATCGACGGAAGATGTTAGTTTCTACAACGAAGACTCTTCACTGCTATTATCAGACGACGAATGGGTTGGAAGTAGTTTAGCTACATCAGAGTTGACACAAATCATATGTCAAGATAGTTATCACCATGAAATGTTGGATCATGTTGTTGATGAATTATTAGCTTACATCGAGTTGAATAGTGATGTGGCGGCGGTTCTAGATGAATTAATTGATGCAATCAATGAAACTGGTGAAATCGAACATGTTTTAGCAGAATTAGTAATTCGAATCGGCGAAAATGACGATGAACTGGATTGTGTTCGTGGAACATTCAACTGTTCTTTATCATTTGTTGGCGATACGACATTTATGGACGAGGACGTAAAACTGTATCCATTACACAATAGCAGTAGTTTGGAGCAGTCTAATGATGATAATGAAAGACGAGTGATGGAAATGAAAATAGCTGAATTAGATAGACGAATCAAAGAACTGGAGTTTGAACTTGATCATCAACAAGAAGAAAAAGAGAAAGATTCTAGTCCTATATGTGTGACAGAAGTTTTTTACAACAGCGATGTTTATATTGTTATTGATATTGCTTAAGTGTTTTCTTTGTATATAATTATCACATTTAAAAAAATGTTTGACAGAAACTGATTCCACTTAGAATCCCAGAATGTATGGATAAATAGATGGTTGTAAAGCGTTCAGTAATCTAAGAAATAGTTTTTGATCCTACAATAAGTATCATTTGATTCAACAGCATCAAATAAATGAAGAGTTTGTTATCGCAGCTTTCAGAAGTGAAGACTGTTCATATATTTTGAAAAATATTTCCATGTTCCTAGAATCGGAAATTACTCACATCATCTTGAATAAAAAGGCGATTTTAAAATTCGATCGTTTTACTTCTGGAGATATTCAGAAAATATTTATCGACATCTCTCTTGAGAATGATCGTACTGTAACATGGTACATCTATGCGAAGAAGGCATCGAAGAAGAACACAAACGCATAACGAAAGAGAGAAAACGATAGAGAAGAGGTGAAGTTTAATAAAAATGTGAAGTATTTTAGTCATAGTTGTTGGTTTCCTCTGTTTTAGAGAGAAATCTCGTTTTTCCTTCTCATCACAGATAGACCACGCTGTTTGAGAAAGATGGAATCAAACACCAAACATGTGCACAAACAATCTTGTTGAAGAATTTATTTTATAAATTAGAATTTTATGAATTAATAAAAAATTACTATAATGGAATGAAACAAAAAATAACTTAAAGGGGAAACGATAGTAAGTAAACCAACGTTGAATTGCGAGTTACGTATACAAATAAATAAGTTAGTATAAAGGATTGTGATATATAAATGGTACCATAAAACGACGGTAAATTAATTTTGTTTCAAACTACTCATGAAGTTCACTGGAATGAATGGAATCATTTGTTCTTCGCTATACCATTTCCATCATAACTAATCGAAATAATAAAAGCTGGCATGTTGTAAATCTTTGTTTTATGAACATTCGCAGTTTAAAGAAATAAATTGATTTTGTAAAGGCAAATGC